TAATAGGGAGAAAAAAGCAGGAGTTGCTGTACTTATATGAGACAAAATAGACTTCAAAACAAAGAAAGTAACGAGATAAAGAAGGACTTACATAATGATAAAGGGGTCAGTCCAATAAGAGGATATAACTATTATAAATATCTGTGCACCCAACACAGGAGCACCTACATATGTGAAACAAATACTAAGAGAATTAAAGGGGGAAATAGAATGCGATGTATTCATTTTAGGAGACTTCAACACACCACTCACTCCAAAGGACAGATCCACCAGACAGAAAATAAGTAAGGAGACAGAGGAAAAAAAAAAAAGTAAGGAGACAGAGGCACTAAACAATGTATTAGAACAGATGGACCTAATGGACATCTACAGAACACTCCATCCAAAAGCAACAGGATATACATTCTTTTCAAGTGCACACGTAACATTTTCAAGAATAGATCATATACTAGGCCACAAAAAAGAGCCCCCGTAAATAAAAAAAGACTGAAATTGTACCAACCAGCTTCTCAGACCACAAAGGTATGAAACTTGAAATAAATTACACAAAGAAAAGGAAAAATCCCACAAACATATGGAGGCTTAAAACATGCTCCTAAATAATCAATGGATCAATGATCAAATAAAAACAGATCAAGCAATATATGGAGACAAATGACAATAATTCAACACCACAAAATCTGTGGGATGCAGCAAAGACCATGCTAAGAGGGAAGTATATTGCAATACAGACCTACCTCAGGAAAGAACAATCCCATATGAACAGTCTAAACTCATAATAATGAAACTAGAAAAAGAAGAACAAATGAGGCCCAAAGTCAGTAGATGGATGGGCCATGATAAAGGTTAGAACATAAATACATAAAATCGAGAAGAAGAAAACTAGAATCAATGAAAGCAGGGGCTGGTTCTTTGAGAAAATAAACAAAATAGATAAACCCCTAGTCAGAATTACCAAGAAAAAAAGAAAGTCTACACTCATAAACAGAATCAGAAATGAGAAAGGAAAAATCACTACAGATACCACAGAAATACAAAGAATTATGAGAATACTATGGAAAATTATATGCTAACAAGCTGGAAAACCTAGAAAAAATGGACAACTTTCTATAAAAATACAACCTTCCAAGGCTGACCCAGGAAGAAACAGAAAATCTGAACAGAGCAATTACCAGCAAGGAAATTGAATTGGTAATCCAAATCCTACCTAAGAACAAAACCCCTGGACCAGATGGTTTCACTGCTGAATTTTATCAAACATTTAGTGAACACCTAATACCCACTCTTCTGAAAGTTTTCCAAAAAGTAGAAGAGGAGGGCATACTCCCAAACTCTTTCTACAAGGACAGCATCGCTCTAATAACAAAACCAGGCAAAGACACCACAATAAAAGAAAATTACAGACCAATATTCCTGATGAAAATAGATGCAAAAACACTCAACAAAATATTAGGAAGCCGAATTCAAAAATACATCAAAAAGATCATCCATCATGATCCCAGTAAGATTCATTCCAGCTATGCAAGGATGGTACATTTGAAGATCTATCAACATCATCCACCACATCAACAAAGAGGACAAAAACAACATAATCATCTCCATAGCTGCTGAAAACTCATTCGATAAAATTCAACATCCATTGATAAAAACTCTCAACAAAATGGGTATAAAGGGCAAGTTCCTCAACATAATAAGGGCTATATGTGACAAACCCAGAGCCAACATCATACTTAACAGTGAGAAGCTGAAAGCTTTTCCTTTAAGATTGGGAACAGGACAAGGATGTCCACTCTCCCCACTTTTATTCAATATAGTTCTGAAGGTCCTGGCCACGGCAATCAGACAACACAAAGAAATAAAAGGCATCCAGATTGGCAAGGAAGAAGTCAAACTGTCCCTTTTTGCAGATGACATGATATTGTACATAAAAAACCCTAAAGAATCCACTCAAAACTACTAGATCTAATACCTGAATTCAGCAAAGTTGCAGGATACAAAATTAATATACAGAAATCTGTTGCATTTCTTTACTCTAATGATGAACTAGCAGAAAGAGAAATCAGGAAAACAATTCCATTCACAATTGCACCAAAAAGAATAAAATACCTAGGAATAAACCTAACCAAGGAAGTGAAAGCCTATACTCTGAAAACTACAAGACACTCATGAGAGAAATTAAAGAAGATACCAATAAATGGATACACATTCCATGCTCATGGATAGGAAGAATTAATATTGTCGAAATGGCCATCCTGCCTAAAACAATCTACAGATGCAATACAATCCCTATCAAAATACCAACAGCATTCTTCAACGAATTAGAGCAAATAGTTCTAAAATTCATATGGAACCACAGAAGACCCCAAATAGCCAAAGCACTCGTGAGAAAGAAGAATAAAGTGGGGTGGATTATGTTCCCCAACTTCAGGCTCTACTACAAAGTCACTGTAATCAAGACAATTTGGTACTGGCACAAGAACAGAGCCACAGACCAGTGGAATGGACTAGAGAGCCCAGATATAAACCCAAGCATATATGGTCAATTAATATATGATAAAGGAGCCATGGACATACAGTGGGGAAATGACAGCCTCTTCAACAGCTGGTGTTGGCAAAACTGGACAGCTACATGCAAGAGAATGAAACTGGATTATTGTCTAACTCCATACACAAAAGTAAACTTAAAATGGATAAAAGACCTGAATGTAAGTCATGAAACCATAAAACTCTTAGAAGAAAACATAGGTAAAAACCTCTTGTATATAAACATGAACAACTTTTTCCTGAGCACATCTCCTCAGGCAAGGGAAACAAAATAAAAAATGAACAAATGGGACTACGTCAAGCTAAAAAGCTTCTGTACGGCGAAGGACACCATCAGCAGAACAAAAAGGCATCCTACAGTATGAGAGAATATATTTGTAAATGACATCCGACAAGGGGTTAACTTCCAAAATATACAAAGAACTCACATGCCTCAACACCCAAAAAGCAAGTAGTCCTATTACAAAATGGGCAAAGGATATGAACAGACTGTTCTCCAATGAAGAAATTCAGATGGCCAACAGGCACATGAAAAGATGCTCCACATCGCTAGTCATCAGGGAAATGCAAATTAAAACCACAATGAGGTATCACCTCACACCAGTTAGGATGGCCAACATAGAAAAGACTAGGAACAACAAATGCTGGCAAGGATGCAGAGAAAGGGGAACCCTCCTACACTGCCGGGGGAATGTAAACTAGTTCAGCCATTGTGGAAAGCAATGTGGAGGTCCCTCCAAACACTAAAAATAGAAATAGCATTTGACCCAGGAATTCCACTCCTAGAAATTGACCCAAAGAAAACAACTCAGATTCAAAAAGACATACACACCCCTATGTTTATCACAGCACTATTTACAATAGCCAAGATACGGAAGCAGCCCAAGTGTCCATCAACAGATGAATGGATAAAGAAGATGAGGTACATATATATACACAATGAAATACTACTCAGCCATAAGAAAGAAAGAAATCGTACCATTTGCAACAACATGGATGGAGGTAAAGGGTATTATGCTCAGTGAAATAAGTCAGGCAGAGAAAGACAAATACCAAATGATTTCCCTCATTTGTGGAGTATAACAATGAAGCAAAACCGAAGGAACAAAATAGCAGCAGACTCAGACTCCAAGAAGGGACTAGCAGTTATGAAAGGGGAGGGGTGTGGGGGTGTGGAGAGGGAGAGAGAAGGGGATTGAGGGATGTTATGATTGGCACACATGGTGTGGGGGGTCATGGGGAAGACAGTGTAGCAGAGCAGGCAAATAGTGACTGTGGCATCTTACTACACTGATGGACAGTGACTACAATGGGGTGTGGGGGGGACTCGATAATATGGGTGAATGTAGTAACCACATTGTTTTTCATGTGAAACCTTCCTAAGAGTGTATATCAATAAGACCTTAGTAATAAAAAAAAAAACAGCAGAACCCCCCCAAGGGAGGTGCCTCAGTGCCTTGAGGCGGCCGCTACCCGCCCCAGCCTGCAGCCTGCCAGGAGCGTGGCTGGACCCCAGTGGGCTGAGGCGAGGAGGCGAGGGCCAGGCAGTCACAGGACCCAGACTGGATGACTGCAGTTCACAGCCACAGATGAAAGGCAGGAGGAAAAGGCTTATGGCTAGAAGAGTCATGGTCAAGGTAAGATTAGGATGGGAGATGCAGCCAGAAAAGGGGTGCTGAAGCCTCAGTCACGGGGCTGGAGGTAGGGGCAGGTGGAGGCAGCAAAGGAGACCAAGACCCCATGGTCACTCCTGTGGGAAGCTGTGGAGCCTCCATGGTGCCTGAGGGCAGGAGAGCTCTTTGGCACTGGATTCCACAGCTTCACAGGGCATGGCAAATAAATGTCAACAGGTAGCTTCAAAGCCCTGCTTGGCCACCCCCACCTCTAGGTCTGTAAAATGGGGGCACTGGTGCCTGCACGTAGGATTTATTATCTGAGATTAAATGAGATGAGAAGGATCGTTCATCTGCTTCTCCAATACTCCAGGGCAGGGCAGGACTGTGCCCCTGAGAACTCCCTGCCCCGTTCCCCATCTGTTCTTGTATCTGCTTGATGCAAGCCACAGGAACCGCAGTCAGAGCACGTCCAAGCATCACTAGGCCCTGGGGCAGTCCCATTTCCACAGAAGGCTGTCCTTCCTCAAAAAGTTTAAATGAGCTCCTACAAGCTTGAAAGACCTCCTTAGACCTGTCCCCTAGGATGGCAAAGGACTGCCTACTTAGAACAGGTGACTTCTTTTAAATAAAAATTGGGATCACAATATACTTTCCCTAAAGCAGCCCGGTGAGAAATTCTTCCAGTGACCCTCCCCCACAATAAGGAGGAAAACAGTCATGAACAAAGCCAGACTATGGGGCATATTTTACATAGCTTTTCTGGAATAATGACCTGGTTTGGGCCCCAAAGGAGTTGCTTTTGTACCTTGTGTCTGTGAAGGTTTTCTGGGCACAGTTTATAAATCACCCAACTTTATAATACACGTATGTTATATTTTATTAATACAGTCATCTTTCTTCACTACACCTCAAGGAAGATGACTACATAGCAATACGAAGGGCACCAAATGCTTGGCTGGCCCTAGGCCCAGATGTCACAGGCTGGTCCACCTGTACCCAACAGAGGTTCCCAAAGCTCTGGCTGCCACTGAGCCGTGAGGACCTGAGCACAGTGCCTGCCCAGGGAAGTCACAGAACCCCCTCCGGGTCTGCTTCCAGGCTGTCCCAGGGCAAGACCATGGCCTCCTTTCTGCACACTAAGGGACAGACATTAACACTTGGTCGTCAGGGGCACAGTGGGGAGGGCTCCACGAAGGTCTCAGGAGGGGCTTCACCAGGGATCCCCTCTCCGGGTCTCTTGTAGTCTAGCTCTTGGAGGGTGCAGAGTTGCACACCGTCCTGAGCAAGCCGGGCCCGCAGTGTGGGCGCGGTGAGGACCCGAAGCTCATGCAGCCGTTCCCAAGAGCAGGAAAAGGCGTCTGGGCCCTCTCCGCAGCCCCCATCGGGAGGCACGCTGGGGTAGCCGGGGTGAGCCATCAGCTCGGCTGTCAGGGCATAGTCTGTGGGTATACCTTCCAGGGCCCGTGCTAGCGCCCCTGACACGTGGTGAGCTGACATGTGCCGGCCACAGGTGCTCAGGCCCACGAAGGCATCCGTCCACCTGTGTACGCCAGGGCATCAGTGGCAGGGACTAGCAGGACTGCAAAGGGCAGAGCTATGCTGGGGGTGGGGATGATGCCAGTCCGTGCTTGACCCCCTCTGACGTTGAGAAATGGACACAGCTGACCCATTGGTACCTGGGCTGGGCAGAGGGCAAGCAGTGGGGGAGCCTCACCGTAGTCCGTGGTGGGAGAAGAGGCCCACGGCGGCCTGGGCGTCGCGCTCCACGGAGCTGGCAAAGGCGCGCGCAGGGGCCTCCAGCCACACGCAGCCGCCCACCCCTCTCTCCATAGGCAGGCGTGTGAAGCGCACCCTGTAGGCCTGCAACGCCTCTGCGAACACCTGGCATACACCTGAGGGCGGGGTGGAGTCAGGGAGGAGCACGTTCCCCGCCTCCAGCCTGGGGCCACACCCCCTTGTCCCCACCCCGCCTGGGAGCCCCGCTCCCCAACCTGGGAGCACGTGTACATGCTGGTGCCCGTCCACGTGCGTGGGGTCCCTGCCCAGTAATTCCCGGAAGCGGCTCAGCTGGGACTCCAGCTCTTCCCGCACCTGGAGGGAGAGGACGATAGGCCCCTTTAAAGTCCGGGAGCAGCTACCGAGCAGGACCCCCTCCAAGTGTCTCCGTGTTTGAACTAGGGAAGCATCAAGCGCCTGATCCTGCCCTTAGTGGCTTCACGGTACCCTCCGGGCAGAGCCTTGGGGGTCATCGCGAGCATCTTTCTGCAGCCGCACCTCCGCACCTGGGGCAAGGCCACGTCTCCGGCAGCCACCGCCTCCCGGAATCCCATCTTGCCGAGGAAGAAGCCTTCGGGGCTGAGCAGAGACGAGGGGCCGTGGCGGGCCGGGCCCACCGGTCGGCCCTCGGACAAGTTGGCGTGGAGGCCCGTGGGGATTTGGTGCCTGCGGACAGAGCGCGAAAGGCAGCACGAGCGGCCTCGGGGCGGCGGCGGCGCCCAAGCCCGCCTGGGTCCTGCAGGGGCCGCCGCTCACCTGCGGGCCAGCTCCGCCGCGCTCTCTGCGGCCGCGCCGTTGACCAGCAGGGACACGCTGGTCACGGCCCCCGCCAGGAAGGCCTCCACGATGCCCTCATCGCGCCGCGGGCAGTAGCCAAAGTCGTCCGCAGTGACCACCAGCCGCACACGCGGACGAGCCATGGACGCCTGCGCGAGATGCCCGCGACCCGAGGGAGGACCGGACAGTCGAGGCCCCGCCCCGGACGCAGCCCGAGGCCCCGCCCCGACGCGTACGCCCCGACGCGGCTGCTCTCCGCCTTTGTCCTCGCCACCTGTCGGTCTCCGTGCGGTCCTGCAAAGACCGCCCCGCTCCGCTGCCCGGCCCCCCAGTGTGCGCCGCCCTAGCCAGACCATGGCTCAATTTATTGAGACGCAGAAGCCTCAAGTGACTGCAAAACTTATATTTAATATGAAAAATACAGAAAAAAAAAATCTCTCAATCCTTGCCAAAGAAACTTCTGCAAACTTCCTGGGTAGTGTTCTTCCGGTATTTTCTCTAAGCAAATAAACACACCTAATTCCTCTTTTCTACCAGCCCAAAGTTTTTGTGTTGCTTTGAGAAGAGCAAAATCACACCATTTTATCCCACTCTTGCAATGTTTCATTTTTTTGATAGTGACTATGACTTTTTCATGTTTTTATTAACTATATTTCTTCTTTTTAAAATTGCCTATTTGTCTTTTGCTGATTTTTCTAAGAGTTTTTTTTCTTAATAAAAGCTCTTACCAATAAGAAAATGAAAGAAAACATATATACCAATGGCTTCATCTGAGAAAGCATTTACTCCTGTTTCCATCTCTTGAGCTCTGTGCCAGGTTACACTTTTACATTCAGAATGTCTTTTCTCTATGTCCAGAAATCTTTTATCAACGACTACAAATAGTTACCATGGTTACAGCCATAATCTTCATTGTGATGTGGCTGTTTTGATTTTCCCAACGAAAAGTGTGGTATTTGTATCCAGCCTATGAGATTTGTAATGTCATTCCTGTTTTACAGATGAGGAAACTGAGGCTCAGAGAGGAGTAGTGTCTTGCCTGAAGTGACCCTGCCAGGGATAGTGGAGCTTGGACTGGCTTCCTAAGCTCTGGGCCTGAATCAGGGCCTACATTGGTCCTCTAGGCCCTGGCTGCCCTATAGGTCAGAAGCAGAGAGGGCAGAGGCCAGCTTGAAAATAGTAATACACACCTCATGGAGTGCTGTGGGGTGGTAGAAGGACTGGACGCTTCACGGAGCCCTTCACCAAGCTCTTGGCGTAAGGATTGTTGTATTGTGGTGATTATTGAGTTAGACCTTATCTAGCCATCATTCTCCACTGGGAAGCTGATTCCCCAGAGGCCCTGAGGGTCTGCAGATGGGAAGGAGGAAATTGACATTTATTGAGCACCCTTTGGTTCTAGAAATATTAGAACTCAGGGGAGAGTGCCTCAGTTCCTCTACCCAAGGAGCACCACCTGGTAGACGACAACAACATGATACGGCAGTGTCTCGGACACGGGCAGGCTTGCAGTGCATCTGTTGGAGGTAGGGGGCCTTTTGGGAAGGCTGTTTCGAGAAGAGTCCTGGGAAGCGGACTGCATTAGGAGGGGTTTACTGGGCAGAGAAAGGAAGGAAGGAGAGGGGCTGAAGATATGCAGGGCTCTTAAGGGGTGCCAGGTGTATGAAAATCTGATTTAATCTCTATACTCCCATATGGAAAGATGCTCAATCCATTTAGAGGAAAAGCAGATGATCAGAGAGTATGAGTCACAGAAGCAGCAAACAGCAGAGCTGGGAACTGAAGCCGGCACGCTCCACTGCACTCAGGGAGACCACAGGGGGAGAGGGCTCAAGGCAGATCCTGGGGTTGTCCACAGTGGGCAAGGGGAGCACCCCAGCAAGGAGCAAAGAGCAGGAGGCCCAGGACAACGCTGCGACCAGAGAGGAGCCGGGGGAAGCGCTTGTGCCACCAGGGGAGGTCGTGGCTTTGTCCCTTAGGCTTCTCTCGGGGCAGGATGGCGGATCCGAGCCTCAGCCTCCGGGCTTCCCCTGGCGGGGCGGAACGAGTCAGCCGTGGTCCCTTGCTCCCGAGCTCCAACCGCGAATATGGGTTGGGGCAAAGCCCGGCTAAGAGGGAGGAGCCAATATAGGCCCTGCCCCATCCATTGAGTCGGTAGTTGGAAGGCGGGGCATCTCGTTGCGAGCCAATCAGGACGCTGCATGCAAATAAATGAACGATGGGCCGCCGAGGGGCACCCCAGCGCAGAGGCGCGGTCTGCAGCAGGCGCCGGGCACAGTGACTGGTGCCTACGCGAGGCGCGAGACTCTGGTGAGCGAGTCAGCTCTGGCCAGGGGCAGACTCCAGGGCACTGCGGTCTGGGAGGCGGAAGGGTGGGAGGGCCAGAGAGGGTCTGAGACAGGATGTGGACGTCCTCAGAGACCGCACTGCCCACGACTCTGACACAGACGGCGCACAGACTCGCAGGAGCTGAGCAGAGGAGGGGCTGGACCAGTAAAGAACGTGGGTGCAGGGACTGAGGGACCCGCGGCCCTCGGGGCTGCTGATGCAGTGGCTGATGGACGGAGGGGGGATCGGACCCATGGAGAACTGGGGGACCCTCATGCCATATCCCTGCTTGGCGCAGAGAGGAATCCGTGGCTGAACTGCGGAACAGGAGAGTGAGGAGGCAGGCGGCAGGCCAAGCCACCCGTGACCAGCGGCCGCCACCCCTCGGGGTACTGGGCAGACGATGAGGTGGGGTCACACGGTGTCCATGGCCCGGGTAAGTATCCCACAGGGCCCTCAGTCTGAGGTCCCCAACATGTTCCCCACCTGCTCCAGCGCCCGACGGCAGCCGCCCGACTCACTTTCTACTGACCGCCTCTCTAGGCCTCTTAGTGGCATCCTTATCACCTTGACAGTGCCCCTGACACCCTGCTGGGTTATAGTCACCCTCAACTTCATTGCCCGTGTCCCGACCTCCAGTGGCCTGGAGGGTCTTGGTGGACTGGGACCCCAGAGCAGGGAGCATGGAGTCCACTCAGGGCCTAGGGCTCAAGCTGTGGAAGTGGACATGGGGTGCTCAGGGCTCAGGAACACAGGGGGTCTGTGTCAGCCCAGCGGTGAGACAGGGCTGACATTCTCTACAGAGAGATGAGACACTTCTGTGGGACACAGGGCTTTTGTGACTGCCCACTCATGTCCTGTGTGAGGCCAGAAGTGGGCTTCCAGGCTCCCTGGCCACGTCTTGTATATGTGAAATGCACACATCAGGGAAGAATCAGGGTACCCCAAATAGATACCCACTCTGCAGAAGAGGAACCAGACCTCAAGAGGGGCCATCTTGCCCAAATCCAGGGCTATCTGACTCCAAAACATAGTTTCTTCCACTGTCCACTTCCCACCCAGCTTCAGGAGGACCCCTAGGGACCCCTCCTCCTGTGGGACATCCCTGCCCCCTGTGACATACCTGCCTGCTCAGGTGCAGCCATCTAAGAAGCCACTGTTGCCGGAAATGGGACAAGCCTCCAAGCTGGGCCACACACCACACCCACCATCGCCATACCCACCCACAGGCAGCTCAGGGCCTGGAGGCCACCGCCGACACCGAAGGGGCCCTCAGTCCTTTAGTAGCTCCCTGGATTTCCTTGCCAAGGGCCAGGTGCTGGACAGCCTGCAGACTGTGGTGGAGGAGGCAACTGAGCTCATGGCCACCATGAAGACAGGGCGGGGTGCCCCTGGTGAAGGTGCAGGACCCCGTGGTGCAGGCCCAGGGTGGGGTGGTGGGCACGTGCCAGGCCCAGCCTCTGTATCAGGCACCCCAACAACTACCCATCCTGCTCCAGCTCCACATCCCCCTCCCAGAGCAGCTTCACAGCTGACTGGCTGGACTCCCACAGCCACCTGGGCACCCACAGTTGGGGCTCACTGTCGCCCACGAGGGACAAACTCTTGCTGGAGAAGAACCTCAAACAACTGCTGTGTCTGGAGAACAGAGGGGTGAGATCTGGGGCCATGGCCAAGGGTGGGTGGGATGGGCCCCAGACCAGAGCCCAGGGCTAGCCCGGCTTGACTGCTCCTGGACGTCCCTGAAAGCCCCCCTCTCTCTGCAGAAAGGCCTGGGTCAGCCCTGCTCCCAGAGGGACTCCCTGCTGTGGGACTCACTGGGCAGTCAGGCCAACAGCCAGTGGACTCCGGAGCAGCTTGTCCTGGTTCTCAGGCCTTCTGGGCTCATGCTCCAACACGCCCCAGGTGTCAGAGCTGGGGCCTGGAGAGCCAGAGCTGACCTTCCTCAAGAGAGAGTTCAACAAGGAGCTCAGGTCCTTGCTGAGGCATCCCGCATCCTTTGACCTGCCAAGCTACTGTTCGCCCCAGCGCAGTCCCCGACACCCATTTCACCGATCAGGGCGCAGGCACCAAACCCTGGACTCCTGGCCGAGCCCCGTCTCTTCCCGGCCCTGCAGAGCGCGGTCAGCCAGGCCGTGGATAAACTCAGTGGCACCTGCCGTGGGAATGGCTGCCCTCTCTTCCCAGCCACCACAGAGGCTGACTCTTTGAACTCTCAGGGCTTCAAGCCCGCCACACCGCTGAGGGGGAAGAGCCCTGTGATTGGCTTCCCATCACAGCCTCCAGCCCTAACATGGAGCACAGAAGGAGCATCAGGCGCAGAGCGCGGGGCAAGCCCAAGGAAGGTGGTTCCCCCTGTCTAGTGTCCAAGTGGCCACCAGATTCAGGCCCAAGGTGACATCCACGGAAGAGCTCAAGGTCCCCTCAGCCCACCCCAGTCAGAAGGTGCCTGACCAGGACCCTAAAGTCCAGAGAATACCTGCTTCTGGGCCCCTGAGCTCCAGCTAGTGGGCCCTGCCCTGGCGGAGCCTGCACCTCACCCTGCCCACCCCCAGGATTGCAGTGGAGTGCCCTCCAGCCAGGCCCAACTCACCTCCCAGGTCACAGCTCTCACCTCCCACTGCCCTCCCTCCGCCTACCACCCTGTGTTCTCACCACTCACCTCTCTGGTAAGAAGTACCCCCCATCTCACTCTGCACCATATCTGGAAATGATCTCCTCAAAGGCAGGGCTGCAGGGATCAGGGATGTGAATGCAGGGGAAGGGCTCCTTCAGCCACCGCTCCTAGTAGCCACTGTCCTGGGCAGTGGCCCGAGTTTTGTGGAAAACACCTGAGCATGAGACAAGCTGATGAGGAACCAGAAATCCCAGCCTAGCTACTGCAAGAGGAATACTGTCAAAGATGAATAAAGGCTATTTTTCGTTCTGGGCACCTTTGAACATTTGCACGTGAATCTTGGAGGCCGTCCCATATGGGGAGGGTCCTGTTCCCAGCTCCCTCTGCTGCTCTGCCTGGGCTAGGACTCTCCCACATGTCTGCAGTGCTGAGAGGCAACTGCTCAGGAAGGGCATGGAGGAGGTGCAGGTGGCCTCCCCCTCGTGGGTCCCCCAGCGCAACCCCCAACACCCATTTCACCGATCAAGGTGCAGACATGCTTCTTTCCTCTGACTCTTGGCCTGTGCAAAATCCTGCCAGAGCCTGGATAGTCCAGGCTCCAGCTAGGCTGACACTGTGGTGAGGTCACAAGCCTTGCCCTAGGCCTGACTGGTGTGCCCAGTGAGACGATGTGTGAGAAGTGGGAGGGCTGGCCAATGGACAGGAAGTGTGCTTCGCTGCTGATCGGGACAGCAGAGCAGATGTGGCAAGGCTGTACCCTTTGTGTGACCAGTGTGGCATCCATGTGGGTGATTGGAGGGTGTTTTGGGTGTGTGGGGCACCCGAGGGTGGCAGGAGTGGCATGACATATCTCCCTTTCCCTCCCTGGCTGCCACACAGAGCCCCAGTTACAAGTTCATGAGGAGGAAGCCACTGCCCTCCATCTCCTCCGAGTCCACCATGTCCCACCTCTCCAGCCCCTGGTACGAGGAGCTCGTCAGCGGTCTGATGGAGCAGGCCATCTCCTTGCTCATCTGCAAGTACGGGTTTGAGAAGAACCTCACCAGGAACCTGGGCTTCATTTCCTTCCCTGTCACTGAGACACTCATGGACCTCTTTCTGGGCTTCAGGAAGCTGAAGGGCTCCCGCATCTCCCTGTCCTCGGAGATCAACTGGAACTGCCTGCTGTGCAACCTGGAGGAGGCCAAGCGGGTCCACTGGGCCTCCTGCCAGGTGGCGCGGTCCACGTTCCAGCTGAGCGACACCTCCCACCAGGCCTCCCACCACAGCACCATCTGTCACAGCCCCGAGTCCCTCTCCATGCTGCCCCCAGCAGCCACCTGGGAGGATCAAGCCAAGGCCGCAGAGCCCTGCCTCTCCTCTGAGTGGAGCAGGAGCCCACCAGCCCAGGGAAGCCCAAGCACCCCACGCTGCCTGTCACCAGCGCTGGCTCCAGTCCATTTCAGGAAGCGCTGCACGCGGACGAGGCTGAGGATGAGCCCCAGGGCCCTCCCGAGCCTCAAGTGGCAGCGAAGGTCGGCCGCTCGGCAGATGTAGGCCACAGTGAACCCCCCAGGAGGCGCCCCACAAGTGGCACCGGGTGCTCAACTCCCTGCTGCTCCTCCCGCTCCGTCGGATCGCTGCGCACATGAGGAGGCAGGCGGCAGGCCAAGCCACCCGTGACCAGCGGCCGCCACCCCTCGGGGTACTGGGCAGACGATGAGGTGGGGTCACACGGTGTCCATGGCCCGGGTAAGTATCCCACAGGGCCCTCAGTCTGAGGTCCCCAACATGTTCCCCACCTGCTCCAGCGCCCAACGGCAGCCGCCCGACTCACTTTCTACTGACCGCCTCTCTAGGCCTCTTAGTGGCATCCTTATCACCTTGACAGTGCCCCTGACACCCTGCTGGGTTATAGTCACCCTCAACTTCATTGCCCGTGTCCCGACCTCCAGTGGCCTGGAGGGTCTTGGTGGACTGGGACCCCAGAGCAGGGAGCATGGAGTCCACTCAGGGCCTAGGGCTCAAGCTGTGGAAGTGGACATGGGGTGCTCAGGGCTCAGGAACACAGGGGGTCTGTGTCAGCCCAGCGGTGAGACAGGGCTGACATTCTCTACAGAGAGATGAGACACTTCTGTGGGACACAGGGCTTTTGTGACTGCCCACTCATGTCCTGTGTGAGGCCAGAAGTGGGCTTCCAGGCTCCCTGGCCACGTCTTGTATATGTGAAATGCACACATCAGGGAAGAATCAGGGTACCCCAAATAGATACCCACTCTGCAGAAGAGGAACCAGACCTCAAGAGGGGCCATCTTGCCCAAATCCAGGGCTATCTGACTCCAAAACATAGTTTCTTCCACTGTCCACTTCCCACCCAGCTTCAGGAGGACCCCTAGGGACCCCTCCTCCTGTGGGACATCCCTGCCCCCTGTGACATACCTGCCTGCTCAGGTGCAGCCATCTAAGAAGCCACTGTTGCCGGAAATGGGACAAGCCTCCAAGCTGGGCCACACACCACACCCACCATCGCCATACCCACCCACAGGCAGCTCAGGGCCTGGAGGCCACCGCCGACACCGAAGGGGCCCTCAGTCCTTTAGTAGCTCCCTGGATTTCCTTGCCAAGGGCCAGGTGCTGGACAGCCTGCAGACTGTGGTGGAGGAGGCAACTGAGCTCATGGCCACCATGAAGACAGGGCGGGGTGCCCCTGGTGAAGGTGCAGGACCCCGTGGTGCAGGCCCAGGGTGGGGTGGTGGGCACGTGCCAGGCCCAGCCTCTGTATCAGGCACCCCAACAACTACCCATCCTGCTCCAGCTCCACATCCCCCTCCCAGAGCAGCTTCACAGCTGACTGGCTGGACTCCCACAGCCACCTGGGCACCCACAGTTGGGGCTCACTGTCGCCCACGAGGGACAAACTCTTGCTGGAGAAGAACCTCAAACAACTGATGTGTCTGGAGAACAGAGGGGTGAGATCTGGGGCCATGGCCAAGGGTGGGTGGGATGGGCCCCAGACCAGAGCCCAGGGCTAGCCCAGCTTGACTGCTCCTGGACGTCCCTGAAAGCCCCCCTCTCTCTGCAGAAAGGCCTGGGTCAGCCCTGCTCCCAGAGGGACTCCCTGCTGTGGGACTCACTGGGCAGTCAGGCCAACAGCCAGTGGACTCCGGAGCAGCTTGTCCTGGTTCTCAGGCCTTCTGGGCTCATGCTCCAACACGCCCCAGGTGTCAGAGCTGGGGCCTGGAGAGCCAGAGCTGACCTTCCTCAAGAGAGAGTTCAACAAGGAGCTCAGGTCCTTGCTGAGGCATCCCGCATCCTTTGACCTGCCAAGCTACTGTTCGCCCCAGCGCAGTCCCCGACACCCATTTCACCGATCAGGGCGCAGGCACCAAACCCTGGACTCCTGGCCGAGCCCCGTCTCTTCCCGGCCCTGCAGAGCGCGGTCAGCCAGGCCGTGGATAAACTCAGTGGCACCTGCCGTGGGAATGGCTGCCCTCTCTTCCCAGCCACCACAGAGGCTGACTCTTTGAACTCTCAGGGCTTCAAGCCCGCCACACCGCTGAGGGGGAAGAGCCCTGTGATTGGCTTCCCATCACAGCCTCCAGCCCTAACATGGAGCACAGAAGGAGCATCAGGCGCAGAGCGCGGGGCAAGCCCAAGGAAGGTGGTTCCCCCTGTCTAGTGTCCAAGTGGCCACCAGATTCAGGCCCAAGGTGACATCCACGGAAGAGCTCAAGGTCCCCTCAGCCCACCCCAGTCAGAAGGTGCCTGACCAGGACCCTAAAGTCCAGAGAATACCTGCTTCTGGGCCCCTGAGCTCCAGCTAGTGGGCCCTGCCCTGGCGGAGCCTGCACCTCACCCTGCCCACCCCCAGGATTGCAGTGGAGTGCCCTCCAGCCAGGCCCAACTCACCTCCCAGGTCACAGCTCTCACCTCCCACTGCCCTCCCTCCGCCTACCACCCTGTGTTCTCACCACTCACCTCTCTGGTAAGAAGTACCCCCCATCTCACTCTGCACCATATCTGGAAATGATCTCCTCAAAGGCAGGGCTGCAGGGATCAGGGATGTGAATGCAGGGGAAGGGCTCCTTCAGCCACCGCTCCTAGTAGCCACTGTCCTGGGCAGTGGCCCGAGTTTTGTGGAAAACACCTGAGCATGAGACAAGCTGATGAGGAACCAGAAATCCCAGCCTAGCTACTGCAAGAGGAATACTGTCAAAGATGAATAAAGGCTATTTTTCGTTCTGGGCACCTTTGAACATTTGCACGTGAATCTTGGAGGCCGTCCCATATGGGGAGGGTCCTGTTCCCAGCTCCCTCTGCTGCTCTGCCTGGGCTAGGACTCTCCCACATGTCTGCAGTGCTGAGAGGCAACTGCTCAGGAAGGGCATGGAGGAGGTGCAGGTGGCCTCCCCCTCGTGGGTCCCCCAGCGCAACCCCCAACACCCATTTCACCGATCAAGGTGCAGACATGCTTCTTTCCTCTGACTCTTGGCCTGTGCAAAATCCTGCCAGAGCCTGGATAGTCCAGGCTCCAGCTAGGCTGACACTGTGGTGAGGTCACAAGCCTTGCCCTAGGCCTGACTGGTGTGCCCAGTGAGACGATGTGTGAGAAGTGGGAGGGCTGGCCAATGGACAGGAAGTGTGCTTCGCTGCTGATCGGGACAGCAGAGCAGATGTGGCAAGGCTGTACCCTTTGTGTGACCAGTGTGGCATCCATGTGGGTGATTGGAGGGTGTTTTGGGTGTGTGGGGCACCCGAGGGTGGCAGGAGTGGCATGACATATCTCCCTTTCCCTCCCTGGCTGCCACACAGAGCCCCAGTTACAAGTTCATGAGGAGGAAGCCACTGCCCTCCATCTCCTCCGAGTCCACCATGTCCCACCTCTCCAGCCCCTGGTACGAGGAGCTCGTCAGCGGTCTGATGGAGCAGGCCATCTCCTTGCTCATCTGCAAGTACGGGTTTGAGAAGAACCTCACCAGGAACCTGGGCTTCATTTCCTTCCCTGTCACTGAGACACTCATGGACCTCTTTCTGGGCTTCAGGAAGCTGAAGGGCTCCCGCATCTCCCTGTCCTCGGAGATCAACTGGAACTGCCTGCTGTGCAACCTGGAGGAGGCCAAGCGGGTCCACTGGGCCTCCTGCCAGGTGGCGCGGTCCACGTTCCAGCTGAGCGACACCTCCCACCAGGCCTCCCACCACAGCACCATCTGTCACAGCCCCGAGTCCCTCTCCATGCTGCCCCCAGCAGCCACCTGGGAGGATCAAGCCAAGGCCGCAGAGCCCTGCCTCTCCTCTGAGTGGAGCAGGAGCCCACCAGCCCAGGGAAGCCCAAGCACCCCACGCTGCCCGTCACCAGCGCTGGCTCCAGTCCATTTCAGGAAGCGCTGCACGCGGACGAGGCTGAGGATGAGCCCCAGGGCCCTCCCGAGCCTCAAGTGGCAGCGAAGGTCGGCCGCTCGGCAGATGTAGGCCACAGTGAACCCCCCAGGAGGCGCCCCACAAGTGGCACCGGGTGCTCAACTCCCTGCTGCTCCTCCCGCTCCGTCGGATCGCTGCGCACTGGACGCCTGCCCCAAGCAAAAGTCAGAATGGTCTGAATGCCCACGAGATGCTCAGACGCGCCTCTCAGGGGCGCCAACGGGGGAAATAAAGCTTGTGTTGATGGAGCACGGTTCTCTTGTCTGGACCTGTGAGCCCTGAGCCAGGCCTGGCCACACCCAGCCTTCATGACAGCTGCTCGTGCTCTGAGCTTTGTGGCCTCACAGGCTCTGCTTGGACACTAGTCCCTGCTCACGGCTCTTCTTTGCTCCAGTCTGCATCTTCCTGGCTCTTCAAGCCTCTTAGGACACCTGGTCCCTCTCCCTGCCAGCCCCTGGGCATCAGCCTCTGCTTCTGGGGACCTCTTCCTCTGCCAGGGCAGCTCCCTCCTCCCTTTGACATGCCGCACACACCCGCCCGTTCCCCCCAGGACCGTGCATCCACCCTGTCCTAATGCTCCTGCAGCTATCTTCCTAACTGGATTTCCCACCTCCAACTCCTGAATTGGAGGCTCAGTGCCAGGTCATGTGCAGGCTGCTGGTCTGTCAAGCTGTAGATGGGTGTCCCAGGCTGGCCACATGACTGCCCCTCCAGCAGTGCGCCCCAGGCAGGGCAGTCTCTCTAGAAAGGTCTGTGGACATGGCTCATGCTGTGACTGGAGGGTCTCAGCTCCGTGGTTCTCCTGGGGCTTCTGGTCTTCCTGTGCCACCGGCTCAGCACCCTCCTCTCAGGGAGCAGCCAGCCTTCACCCACCACCCTGCCCCTATGCCTGAGAGGACATGAAGATGCTCCATTCTGCCTTGCCCTGCTGGATGCCATTGTGCTATTGCAGGAAGCTTGGTAGGTGTCTCATGCCTCTCCCTGGAGCCTGCCCAAGGGCCACAGAGGCCAAGACTGCTAGATGCAGTCTGCCCATGCTCGGTGGCCCACATGTGAAGACAGAGCTACTATAGAGCTTCCTCTGGAGCCAGGCAGGGAGGTCCTTCCACACCACATCCATGCCCTGCAATGTGGGGAGGAGGACGTGCTCCAGAGCCAGCCAAAGAGACCTGGGTCCTAAGGTCAGGGACCCATTTTTCAACAGAATTCTTGTGGCAAGGATCT